GGGTTTAGGGTTTAGGGTTTAGCAACCTTCGAGGGTTGCCTAAACCTCATACAACCTTTCACCCTCGACGGTTTGGGGTACAGAGCTCAGTGACACTCAGGGTTTAAGGTTAAGGAAGCCCGAAACCCTAAACCCTAAACCCTAAACCCCAAGCCCCAAACCCTGAACCCTACGCCCATAAGGGCGCCTGGATACTTGGCTCGGACGGCTGCCAGGAGCCTTACTTCTCCAATAACCAAGGGGCGGCAAAATGGTTAAACTTTAATATTCCTACTAAACAAGGAAAACCAAAAAACTTAAAGTTCAACTGTACCCTAAACTTCCTAAACCCTAAACCCTAAACCCTAAACCCGAAACCCGACACCCTAAACTGAAGGCGACGTAAGGAGCTGTTCGTAGCCGGCTTGGAAGTTTCTGGCTTCGGGCTTCAGGGGGTTGATGGGAATGTAGTCATTGGTTCCCACGTTGATCACCTGGGCTGCTGGCAGTGCATTGGGGTTTAGGGTTTAGGGTTTAGGGTTTAGGGTTCAGGGTTTAGGGTTCAGGGTTCAGGGTTCAGGGTTTAGGGTTAAGGGTTAAGGGTAAACCCTTAACCCTGAAACCTAAAAAGAGGCTACTGCACCTTGGGGACAATGATAACCCATTTCCCCTGCTCCGAATATAGAACCCCACCAGACCCTCAACCCTTAACCCTAAACCCTAAACCCGACACCCTAAACCCTAAACCCACCAAATATACTCCAAGCATACCTTCAAGGTCCGGTTTGCGGATGGATTCAAGCCCTCGAAGTGTTGCGAAGTCAAAGCTGAACCCTCCACCCCTCCATCACCTAGATCCCAAAAAACATGGGGGTTTCCGAAAATTAGGGATCCCCAATATAGACCTGCAGATAGTAAAATTCCCTTCCACGACGGACACCAATAAGGTACCCCTAATTTCGGAAACCCCCACATAGTTTCAAAAGCAAGCCATACATGTCGTCTAGAATCAGGCATCAAAGGGTCTGTTGGTATATATTGCGAGATGGAAACCTAAACCCTAAGCCCTAGACCCTATAGACCCTAGACCCTAAACCCTAAACCCTATAAACCCTAAACCCTAAACCCTACTTCCCCTGTTCCGGGTTACGGTTTATCGGCTCCGGGGTTTACTGTAAGGAAGTTTGCCTTGAGCTTCGGCTTGGGGGATGAAAGTTGGGAAACCCTAAACACCAAACCCAAAGCCCTATTCCCTAAACTCTAAACGGTGTAGGGTTTAGGGTTTAGGGCTTCGGGTTTAGGCCCTAAACCCTAAACCCTAAACCCTAAACCCTAAACCTTAAACCCTAAACCCTAAACCCTGAACCCTAAGGAATCTGATTGAACAAGCCTTTGGCCCAGTCGCTACCACATCCGCCTGCCACCGGCCGAAGTCCCAGGGCAAGCGGCAGCACTGCCTCGCTTGCTGAGAAGCCGAAGGCTCAGGGTTTAGGGTTTAGGGTTTAGGGTTTAGGGTTTAGGGTTTAGGGTTTAGGGTTTAGGGTTTAGGGTTTAGGGTTTAGGGTTTAGGGTTTAGGGTTTGGGGTGTAGAGTTTAGGGTTTAGGGTTTCGGGTTTTGGGTCGAAGCTTGGGGGTTGGGTGTTTAGGGTGTTAAGCAGAAACCAGCAACCCTAAACCCTGCCATCCCCCACCCCCATCCCTCCCAACACACAAAAGAAAACATCTAAAAAGCAAAGGGAACCCTAAACCCTAAACCCTAAACCCTAAACCCTAAACCCTAAGCCCTAAGCCCTAAACCCTAAACCCTAAACCCTAAACCCTAAACCTCAACTCTAAACCCTAAACCCTAAACCCTAAACCCCAAACCTTGAAACGAGGCAACGCTGGGCGTCCGAGTTGCGAGAAGCTGTACTCCGAGCAAAGGAACCGATCTCGGATGCCGTAGAACTGCAGGCCGTACGCCTTGTGAGCTGGTTTAGGGTTTAGGGTTTAGGGTTAGGGTTTAGGGTTTAGGGTTTAGGGTTTAGGGTTTCGAGCTTAGGGTGTTTAGGGTTCAGGGTTTCGGGTGAAGGCACAAGGTTCACGGTGCATAAACGGTATAATTAGGGTTTAGAGGTTGAGTTGAGGGTTTAGCTATGTTGGGTATACCGGGTACTTGCAAGGGATGTAAACGGTATAAAGCCCCAAACGACCAACCCTAAACCCTAAATCCTAAACCCTAAACCCTGGAGCCTACAGAGACCAACCCTGAAACCCTACACAGACCAACCCTAGACCCTACATCCAACCCTAAACCCTAAACAACCCTAACCCTAAGGGTCTACGGGACTACTTGGGCCTTAAAGTCGTCATTTTTGGAGGTGCTTTAAGGCGCAAGTACTCCCGATTTGGGTACATGGAGCCTTAGGGAAAGCGCTGAACAGTGCTTTCCCTGAACGCCTAAAAACAAATGGATGGTCCTAAACCCGTAAACGGCCCTGAGCGCCCGCAACTCAACCCTCAACCTATATAAACCCTAAACCCTACACCCCAAGAATCCTCTAGCAGCCCAAAATGCTCACCTGTGATATCACCCAGGCGAGAGGCCTGGTAGGGAAAGATTGCAATGCCGGTGCGCGCCACCGCCCGCCAATCCTCGGCCGCCCCCGCTGGCTAGGTCCCTAAACCTTAAACCCTAAACCCTAAACACCAGACCTGCATGAAGTCGGGGTCGGATCTCGAGGGCAGCTGGGTGGGGGAGTGGAATGCGAAGTCTCAGAAAAACAAGACTCGTACCCCCCTATGGTTTTAGGGGTACCAGTAGGGTTTAGGGCTTAGGGTTTAGGGATCCTCCTAGCATGGCCCTTGTATTACCTTAAGGATCTTCAAGAATTGTTGTAGTTGTTTCTTTTTTTTTTGGGGGGGGGAATATAGGGGCCTACATTACGTATACAGGGGTTCTTTAGGGGCGCTTAGGGTTTATATGCGCCCGCGTTCCGCGTAATCGACCCCCCCCCCCCCAATGGTATCCCCCCACCCCCCCCCCGGCAACCCCCCACCAAACCCTGCCTGTTAACCCTAAAAACACCACGGACCACGGGGGGGGGGGGGGGACAGAGAAGCCTCAGCCTAAACCCCAAACCCTGAACCCTAGCCCTAAAACTTAAACCCACCAATGAACGACGGGAGGGAGAAGGGTAAACCCGAAACCTTTGCTGCTTTAACTCTGAACCCTCAACCGTAAACCCAGCACGAACCACAGGGGGGAGAGGGGAAACCGTAAACCTATCATTACCCCGACCTTGAACCCAAATCAAACTCTAAACCCACAGTGAACCAATGGACCAGAGTGAAAATCCTGAACCCTAAAGCCTAACCCTAAACCCCTAAACCCTAACCCATGAACCACAGACCATGAACCACAGGGAGGGAACCCAAAACCCACCATGAAACCGCAGGGGGGGGGGGGATACCATGGGGGGGGGAGGGGGTTGGGCTATGCTGGCCCATATAGGGGCCTCTATCAGGGATCTTGGGGTCATTTAGGGGGAGAAGATGAAGGTTCCCCCTCTAGGGTCCCTCCTAACCCGAAAAGCCCTCAGTCCCAAACCACTAAACACCCAAGAGCTAAACCCTAAACCCTAGACCCTAGACCCTAGACCCTAGACCCTAGACCCTAAACCCTAAACCCTAAACCCTAAACCCTAAACAAAGGGTAATAAGGGCCGACTCTGCCATCCCAAACCTAACAGCTGCCAAGGGTCCGCGGTGCCCCAGGCGTCCGCCAGGCGCCGATCCCAGGTTTGGAAGATGTCCTCTCTTTCTTAGGGTTTGGGGTTTAGGGTTTAGGGTTTAGGGTTTAGGGTTGAGGGTTTAGGGCTTAGGGTTTAGGGTTTAGGGTTTAGGGTTCAGGGTTCAGGGTTCAGGGTTTAGGGTTTAGGGCTTGGGGTTTGGGGTTTAGGGCTTGGGGTTTGGGGTTTGGGGTTTTGGGGTTTGGGGTTGAGGGTTTAGCGCCTCCGTTGGGTTTTGAAGTACGGGCCCTTGAATCTTACATGGTATGTACGGGGTATATTGTGTAAGTATACCAGGGTTCCCAACTGAGGTCCCATCGTAAAGCACCAAACATTGTAACCCTCCTCTCTTTGGGGTTTAAGGGGGGGGGGGTTTAGGGTCTGGGGTTTCTTTAGGGTTTAAGGAAGAACCAATCCCCAAAACCCTCAACCCCAAACCCTTTAAACCCAGACCCTAAACCCTAAACCCTAAACCCTAAACCCTAAACCCTAAACCCTAAACCCTAAACCCTAAACCCTAAACCTCAAACCCTAAACCCTAAACCCCAAACCCTAACCCTAAATCCTAAACCTCCCCCAAAAGCCTGGACCCTGGCGCGCGCCTCCCCAGACTGGTTCTGGTTGATGTAAGACCCCGGGCTGTTGAGAACCACCCAGCCAGCGGTGATGGAGTCCCCTGGCCACAAGGAGGTCTAGAGTTTAGGGTTTAGGGTTTAGGGTTTAGGGTTTAGGGTTTAGTAGCGTTTTGGGTTTTGGGTTTTGCTTTCATTCTTACTTCAGGCCACAGCCACTCAGCAACAAACACATGCTGACGCCGGCTTGACATGCTGACATTGAGACTCTTGAGCCGTAAATAGCCCTAAACCCTGAACCCTAAATCGCCCATGGCCCTTCAAGTACCAACCGGGCTGGTGCAACAGCAACGTCCGCGCCTATGAACTCCACGCGGAGCTGATCGTGGAGGCCTCTCTGAAGGCCAGTGTTTAGGATTTGGGGCTCTGGGTTCAGGGTTTGGGGTTTAGGGTTTAGGGTTTAGGGTCCCCACCCCCAAGAATCTGAGACCTTAAGCAGGTGGTAGGACTCCACAGGGGGATACGCCTTTCGGGGAAGCTTTGGGGTCCCCCATGACGGCCCAGGAGTGTTGCAAACTAAACATCCTCTCCGGGTTTCGTGTTCAGGCTTCAGGGTTTAGGGCTTAGGGTTTAGGCACTAGGGTTAACGGCGCCTACTCAGCATACTCATCAACCACCC